TAGTTTTCACAGCTGATATTGAGCTTCTCCAGTGGTTCCTTCCACAGATGTAGTCGATCTGATTCCTATGCATACCATCAGGTGAAGTCCATGTGTATAAGCTGCGTTTGTGTCTCTTATAAAATGTATCTAGCTTTTTTAAAAAAAGAGAGAAAAAAGAAGAAAGGCAAGGGGAGCGGGGGTGGGGGGAGAGGAGTGGGGCGGTAGGGGACCAAAGAAGACCTTTGTAGACTCAACCAGAGCTTGGAAAACTACTCGCAGAGTAAGTAACTGTTAAACAACTATATTACCTTTACAAATCCCATGGTACTGTAAACAGTATTATTAAGCTTTGCGTGGCTTTTGTTCCCACTGCAAACCTTCTAGATTAGACAAAACAAACAACACGCAGCCCTTCCCTAGATGCCCTTTGAAGCCAATCTTCTCAGGTTACAGCAGTAGTCACAGATCTCAAGCCAGGACCAAGCGGGCCTGGGAGGCTCCGAGCGTGGTTCTTCACTCCCGCCCCGCGCCCTACTGTGGGCGGAGCCTGAGCGGTGCTACTTCAGCGAGAGCCGCCTGTCTCCGCCTCCGCTCCCAGTCTTCGTGCAGAGCTGTGCCGAGAGGTCGCAATGAGCTGGGAGTTTCTGCTCGCGCTGTGTGCGCTGCTTCTGCTCCTGGTGCAGCTGTTGCGCTTAATTCGGGCCGATGGCGACCTGACCCTAATGTGGGCCGAATGGCAGGGGCGACGCCCAGGTGAGGTCCCACTGTGGCCCTTGCGGAATAGGAGGCTCCGAGAGGCCTGAGAGCACCGAGAGCGGCTGGCGCTGCCTGGGCTTGATTTTTACCCACGGAGCTCCGAGTAGGGGGCGGAAGAGTCCCGGGCTGATGGTCTAATGGGGCGTTCTGCCTCACTGTCTTCTCTCCTGGTGGGAAGATGGTAGGGACTCAGAAACCTCCTCCTGGGTTGCCAAACTGTAAGAGGGCGCTGGTGTCAAAGGACAGTGCCTGCTTGTAAGGGAGCATTTTGTGAGGCCGCGAGGGCTCTCGGGTTTTCCGCTTCCTGAAGTTGTTTATTCTTCTTTTCACTTCACTAGGAGTTTTGAAACAAATCTCTAAACTCCGGAGCCACTCATCCAGCTCTGCATTGGATTAAAACATAACAGTAGGGGGTGGGGAGGGAAAAAACCCCAAACAGAATTTTGCCAGAAGCGAGATCCTTATTGGCACATTAACAGATACTCTCTCTTGCATCATTGGGCAGTGGGCTCACTACTATACACTCCTGACTTACGAGTTTACCCCTACCTTATAAAGTTGGCATGATTAATCTTATTTTACAGATAGACTAATGCTTCTAAAAATGCCAATTCAGGCTTTGGATAGCTCCATATGGGCTTAGAGTTGACGCAGTAACTGCAGTGGTGGATCTAGGCACCACAGAGGTGGTGAGGATGGCGCAGGACCTGACAGAGTTTTGATCGGTTGTGCATCGGGTCACTATGAATAGTGGTCTACTAGCAGGCACCTAGAGAACTCTGGTGGCTTAGTCGTAAGAAGTTGTGCTGCCAACTCAAAACCACGCATTTTGGATCTATCACCTACTCTGCTGAAAGAAAATGGACACACTCCTCCTGTGCTATTAACTGCCTCTGAAACGCTTCTAAAGAATTGGCAACCACCACAACAGACGCTTGAAGATGGAGAGGGCAGTTGTACTACCAGGACCAAATTACCAAGTTATTTAATATGAAAATATGCAGAGCAAATGATGAGGTTTTCTGAAAATGCCAGCTAGTAGACCAGACTATAGATGATACTTTCTCAAAGAGAGAAAGAGAGAGACAGAGAGACAGTGTGTGTTTGTGTGTCTATGTGTGTGTGTGAGTGTGAGTGAGAGAGGCAGAGAGTAACAGCAGTGGATATAGCTTCCCAAGCTGCTGAAATGCTGTTGGGAACCAAAAAAACCTTAGATCTCAGTGTCCCTCCAAAGTTCAACCGTACCCAAGAAAATCTTACTATTTTGTTTCTTAGTATTTAATTTCTCTTCGGTTTTCTTGAGTATCACTTACCTGAGGATCATTGCCATTGATGAATTAATGGAAGACACATAGAGTATATACATAGTCTGTGCTATCAAACTGTAGTGGCTAGTGGACTTCCTGTAGAGGTGGGCTGGCTTTGGCTAACTTACAGATGTTTTTGTTTTAACCCCTGCTTTTGTGTTAACCTGGACTTTGAGAATTATATATTTTATTGTTTAATTCTATAGAAATTATTCAGCCCCATTACTTACATCAAGCTCAGGAAAGGAAAAATGTTGACTATATCTGAATGTCAATTGCTATCCCCAGGGCTTCTTAACCAATAGTTAAGTTAAAGGCAATTTTCTCATAGCAGACAAAAATTAAGATCACTAAAAAGACCATTTAAGAATTTAATTTTACCAGTAGTTTAATTTTTTCTAGAAAATAATAGCTGACGATTTTTTAAAAATTTGGTTACATTTCTATTTACTGTTTTTTAGTTATAAATATTATTTTAATATGTTGTCTAATATTTTATAATTTATGTAAATAGATTATATTAAAAGTTACTCTCAGAAGGTGCAGGAATACTAAGAGTTTTTAAAGTTTAATGTAACTTTAACTTTATTTTCATTTAACCATTCGCAAACCTGAAGGTGAAGTGAATAGGGAATTGCATGGTTAGCCCAAAGGTTGTACCTTTCTGGCAGTAGCAATTCACCATTGCCTCCTTGGGAGAGTGATGGTCTCCTCCTTTTCTATTTTCAACCTCTAATGCTCAGCTATGAGTTGGTTCCAACTCCATGGTAAGGAGTTTGAGGGGTTTTCTGTTTGTTTTGTTTTTTCACAAACTGTATTAGGGAGCTCTTGTGGTCTAGTCTGCAAGGGGTTGCGTTACTAACCCAACAACTCTGCCTCCCTAGTTGTTCAACCCATCACCTGTTCTACAGGACAAAGATAAGCAGTCTCCTGAGTCATTTACAGCCTTGGAAATGCAGTGGAGGGTCAGTGATGTGTTGGCTCCAACTCAAAGATTATGAGAGAGCCCTGTAATGAATAAAAAGGATATACTTTATTTATTCTCTATTAATCTATATCCACAGGAGAATGATGGGCCATATCCTCCCATGTGACTAAACTGCCTCTGAAAACCCACTAGAGGATCATCTGTGGGTCGGTTCCAACTCAACAGCAAACAGTAAAAATAACATTATAATATAAAGCAAGGGTACACATTTAGTACATAAATAGATATACAAGTTCTATTTTATTAAAATTTCAAGGAGTTGATTAAGAAAAAAAATGTCTTTAAAATGCACCTTGTATGTAAAGGCAGTGAGGAAAAGGAAGATTTGGGGAATCTGGAGATAGGCAGGAACAGGAGAACTCAAAGATGAGGGGGGAAATTCTCCTTTATTTGTCACTTAAAAAAAATAGATAACACGCATCAAAAATTCAAAAGTACAAAAAGACCATACAGTGAAAAGGAAAGCTTTCTCTCACTCTTGGTCCTCACTACTCAGTATGTCTTTGTGTAGATAATTACCATTTCCTGCCTCATGTGTACCCCAAGAGGTCCCTGGATGGCACAAGTGGTGCCAGTTCGAACCCACTCAGTGTCATCGTCAAAGACAGGCCAGTCTAGAAAAGCCTGCAGAGCAGTGTACTCTGTAAACCATGGAGACCTCATGAGCCAACATCCACTCAATGGCAGTGAGTTTGGTTTGGCTTTGAGTGTCCTTCTAGAAAAATCATGTGTGCTTCTAAGCATGTACTTAACTGTTGAAATTTAAGGGTGGCTAATTTTAGTTATTACACTTAGACCCAGGAAAATCCATGGAAGAAGTCCAGCAGAAGAAAAGTCTTAATGGCAGCACATGAGAGGAAAATTCAGGATTTAGTTGGCAGTAATCTCAATATGAGTCAACTATGAAGTGGCAGCCAGGAAAGATTAGGCAAGCCTGAGTGGCATTCATGCAAATTTAGTGTCTGGAGCAACAACTGGAAACAACACAACACAGATCTCTTCTTAACACCTGATTGTATGTATTGAACAGTGGAGACACAGCAGTGGCCAAGCCATACGCAGTCTGGATCCTCACAGAGCCTACCATGTAGGGGACCAAGGAAGCGATTTTGTCCTCTTCCCCTCTTCTACCTTGTCCAGACCCCACCGAGTCCTGGGTTCTACTCTCACTAGTTCTTTTCATTAGGGAAACTGAACAATAGAAGATTTCAGCCCAAGAGTGAGGAAACCTGATGCCATGTCATGTGAGAGAAGGCAGCAGGAGTTTGAGGTGTTTAGTGAGCCTCTGAGAAGCAAAAGAGGAGAGGATCTAGGGAGCTCTTAACAACTGGAAACCAGACTTGGTTTGCCTTTCTGGTTTCAGAAGGCAAAACTCACTCTTGGCTTCTGCTTGTTAAAGTAAGCATCTGGACTTAAAAAGTATTGGTAACTGTTACCAAAAAAGAAAACTACAGACCAATATCTCTCATGTAAAAATCCTTAACAAAATCCTAGCCAATAGAATCCAAAAGCACATAAAAAGAGTAATTAACCACGACCAAGTGAGATTCATAACAGATACAAGGATGGTTCAACATAAGAAAAACAATCAATGTAATTCACCATATTAACAAAATTAATGAAAAGAATAATATGATCTTAGCAATTGATGCAGAAAAGCCATTCAACACCCAATACTCCCTTCTGATTAAGACAATGAACAAAATTGAAATAGAAGGGAATTTCCTCAATATAATGAAAATTATATATGCAAAAAAGCAAGAGCTAATATCATTCTCGGGGATCATTTAACGTTCTGCCGAAAGCATTTTTGATTATAGCAACTCGAGGTTTGAATTTGTTCTTCAGTTCCTTGACCTTAAGATATGCTGAGCGAGTTCGGCCCTTTTGATTTTCCGACTCC